TTGAGATTTTATTAAAATCTTTATTTTTATTTGCCCTTTGGATGGAGTCTTGTTGAATGAGGTAACCTCTCATCACTGCTTTCATTGCTTCCCATTGTGTAATCTTAGATGTTTCCTCTCCTCTATTCAGTTGCAAATATTCTTGTAACAGTTTCCTGTTTCTCTCAATATCTTTTTCCTTTCTTAGGAGATGTTCTTTTAGCCTCCATCTGAATGAGGGTTCTTTTCCCTTTATGATTAGTTCAAGTGCGCAATGATCCGAGAATAATCTAGCCATAATTTTTATGCTTTTTAATTTTAAATTTAAGGTGTTTGAGGCCCAGGCCATGTCTATACGGGACCAGGAGTTGTGTCTTCCTGAATAATATGTGTAATCTTTCTCTGGCCCTTTAGTGCATCTCCACATGTCTACTAGATTCAAATTTTCTAAGTGGGATATAAACTTTTTTGGTAGTGTGCCTGATTTGTTTTTGCCTGACTTCTTCCCTATTTCATCGCAAGTTTTATCTAATTTTGTGTCTACTACCCCATTGAAATCCCCTATTAATAATAGCTCATCATATTCTTGCTGTTCTATTAGTCTTAAAAGGTCTTTCAGAAATTTAAGTTTCGGACCATTTGGGAAATAAGTATTGCAGAGCAATATTTTTTGGTTGTATATTTCAATTTTTATTCCCACAAATCTCCCATCATTGTCTTTAAAAAGTAATTTTGGATTCAGCCATTCTTTGGCATAAATTACTACTCCTCTTTTCTTTTCGCTTCCGGAGGAGATGAATTCTTGGCCCAATTTCCTATTTGTTAGGTGTTTCGTGTGTCTGTCCGCGATATGCGTTTCTTGGAGAGCTATGATGTCCAGGTTTCTTTGCTTTAGATAATTAAAGACTTTCTTTCTCTTACTTTGGGAGTTCAGTCCATTGGAGTTATTTGAGTAGATCTTTATTGTCTTATTCATTAGAGTTGTCCTGCATCTCCCATTGTGCCACCTCTTGGGGTAGAAGTAGCTGATAGTTCTCAGGTGAGAATTCCCTTAATCTCTTTTGTTCTCTCTCTCTATGTTCCTTGCCTGCGTTGTAGTGTTTGTTGTATTCAATTTCTCCTTCCTCTTCCGTCCCAAATCCTTTCCTTGTCTCTGTTACATTCTCGTCATTGAGTGACTTTTTCCTGGTTTCTTGGTGTTTCCTCTGGGATGAGTCTTCTGTTTGTCTTTTTATGTGGTTTAGGTAAAAGGCCCTTGCCTTTTCTTCCGTGTTGAGCCAGTATCTGTTGTCGTTATAGGTCACAGTTAGTCCCTCAGTTTTCTCCCACCTGAACTTGATTTTCTTTTTGACAAGTTCTTCTGTTAAGAAGGTATATTTCCTGCGTTTCGCTAGTGTATGTTGGGAAACTTCTTTCATAATTATCACTCTTTTGTCCTTGTAGTAGATGGGTTTCTTGGCATTTTCTTTTATTATTTCGTCTCGAGTACTTTTCCTACAGAAACTCACTACGATGTCTCTGGGTGTGTTGTTTCGTTTGGCATAACCTGAGGGTACTCGGTATGTTCTGTCTACGTCTTGCCCAATTATTTCTGCGTCTACGTTCATTAGTTTTGCTAATAGTTCGATTATTGTCGTTTTCAAGTTTTCCCCTTTTGTTTCTTCTAGATTCCTCAGTCTTATTTGATACTCTAGTTCCCTGTTCTCAAGTGATTCCATTCGTTGTTGAATCTTTAGATTTGAGTCTTCTAGTTTGTTCATTTTGTAGTCCCATTTTCCTTGTGTTTTGATTATTTTTTGGTTTTCTTTTTTCAGGTTGTCCATATCTATTTGCAGTTTGCTTATGTCTTCTTTCAGATCTGTCTTAATCTTCTGGATTTCCTGTTGTAGTTCCTTATGTTGTGTGTCCTGTTTAGTGGACAAGTTTTTGATTTCCGCCAGGATGACTTGGAGAATGGATTCTTCAGACACTGAGTCTTTTTTTTGTTTGGGCAGTGGTTTGGGAGAGTAGTTGGTTCTGAGACTTGGCAGATTGAGTTGCCTTCACTTTCACATTTGGGGTCGCCATTTCTGGCTTTTCTCTTCTTTGTTATTGTTATTTACTATATTATTTTGCTTGGTTCTTAATTTTATTTTTTATGTTTATTTTAAACGATAATATTCCTTGATATTCTTTGGTATTCTTTAGTTAATGCTTATGCTTGTATATATGTAAATATTTGTGGTCTCACCTCTATGTCCTTGGCGTTGTTTTCTTTTTCTTTCTTCTTTCTTACCTCTACTCTCTGTCGCTTATTCTGTTCTGCTGGCTCTTCCCGTTTTCCCTGCTTCCGCCCTTCCTGGTCTTTACTTCCTTGTTCTCTTTACTTCTCGCGATTTTACAACTCTCGTCTTCTTTGCTCTTCTCGCGTTGTTTCCCTTGGGAGTCCCCTGGGCACGCGAGATCTGCCGCAAGAACAGTGGCGAGATGGAGCAAGATAGCACGTCTCGGGGGGGGGGGCGCGTTGTCTGCTCCCTCCTCCTCTTCTCTCTCCCCTGCACGTGTTTGCTCCCTGCCTCTTTTGCAATAAATCTTTTGCAATAAAAATTATAATAATAATAATAAAAAAAGAAAGAAATTGAAAAAATTGTTTCAATTTTTAATTACTCCTGCATGGCTCAATATCGGATCGTAAGCTAATTTAAATACGAATTAATAACGAATTACAAAATTAACGAATGAAACCACCCAAGCCCATCAAACAATGATGGATCTGGACCAAATTTGGCACCAATATTCAATATGCCCAAATGTGAACACTGGTGGAGTTTGGGGAAGATAGATCTTGACACTTGGGAGTTGTAGTTGCTGGAATTTATAGTTCACCTCCAATCAAAGAGCAATAGGAATCCCATCAATGATAGAATTCCCACACAGAATATATTTATTTATTTATTTATTTAACTTGTATACCACCACTCCCAATTTGGCTCGGAGCAGTTTACAGCAGTAGATTAAAACAATACAACCAACTTTAAAATACAATAAAAACAAGAACCGACATAGTCCTGAGTTATTCACCATGACCAATAGAAAATACTGTGTTTTGTGATGGTCTTTTGTGACCCCTCCAGGAGTCCTAACCCTCACGTTGAGAAACTCTGGTTTACACCAAAAGATCCCACGTCAGTTAGGTCAGTTCAACAGTTTCCTCCATTAGCACTTTTCATACCGCAGTCAATCCAATCTTCACCCCCCCCCCCCGTAATGGTGTTTCCCCAGGTTTCAGTTATAGGATGGTATCTTCTGCCTTGGCAAGCCTTAATAGGCCCCTAGCCAGACCCCAATCATACAATTTCATGCAATCCACTCATGACAAATATATAGTGTCTTACATTTTTAAAGAAGGACTTGCCAGGCCTGCACAACACTGAGATAAATGTCAATCCCAAGCAGGCAGTGACTACCGCTGTGTGGTTGACCACATATTTTGCATGCAGAAAGTCCCATATTCAATCCTTGTTGTCTCTAGAAGAAAAGCAACACACTTATTTGGGGTCTATTGGGATTTTCAGATTCTCCCCAATTCTTTCTCTATACAAAGGCTATTTTCTCCCTCGCAGGTTAGGAGTAAAGTTTTTTTAAAAGATGGTAAAAATTTGTCAGCATGTTCAATTGCCAGGCAAGCTACAGGATCCTTGGAGTTGAAGAGGAACCAAACGGTTTCCAAAGCTATGGTTAGAGCAGAGCTTTCCAAACTGTGTGCTTAAGTGGCTGAGGGGGGAAAGGAAAGGGCCTGAGGCTGTTAGGAATTGTGGGAGTTGAAGTCCAAAACACCTGGAGGACCCAAGTTTGTCCATGCCTGGTCAAAGCATTCCCAACAGACGGCCTTCCATCTGACTTCCATTTAAAAACATTCTGAGAGGTTTCATCACTACAGAGGTGTAGTGATGGTGCTGTTCAAGCATAGGTACAGTTATAACTCTTATAGTTTACACAATGTATTGATTGAGTTGCAGTAATTACCACTAAAGTGGATATTATTTTTTTCATTTTGTGTATTTTAATATGTATTTTATGGAAATATGTTTCAATCTGTGTATTCTACAGAGTGTTTTTAAATGATTGTGTGATTTGATTATGTGTTTTAGCAATGTTATAACTCACCTCAAGCCGTGAGGAGAGGCAGGGAAGAAATGTTATTATTATTATTATTATTATTATTATTATTATTATTATTAGTTTCAGATTAAGAAAATCTGTTGACAATAATGTTTGTGAGAAACCCCATGGAGAGGCAACAGAGAAAACTACACAGAAATCAACTGTAGTACCTAAGAAATGTAAAGTAAAAATGTACAAACTTCACAGATTATACAGCACAGATTATTTGAAACTCGTGTTTTATATATACCGCCCACCTTTCATTCAGCAAGTTCAGCAGCTCAGTGGTTTAACCTGCTGCGCCACCCCCAATATATATATGATTGGAGGTTTGAATCGAGGGAGCAGGGTGATCTCCCACTGTTAGGCCCAGCTTCTGCCAATCTAGCAGTTTAAAAACATGCAAATGTGAGTAGGTCAATAAATACTGTCTTGGTGGGAACATAACGGCACTCCATGCAGTCATGCTGGCCACATGACCTTGGAGGTGTCTATGAACAACGCCGGGTCTTCGGCTTAGAAATGGAGATGAGCACCACCACCCCAGAATCGAACATGGCTGGACTTAATGTCAGAGGAAACCTTTATCTTTACCTCTCTCTATATATATATATACATGTATATAATTTATATTTATATATGTACATTATATATTTTATAATACTGTATATACCATATATTGTATGAAACTCCTATAAGGGTTTGGTTCAACCACCGTTTGCTAGTAAAACTGAATTACTGTGTCGCGAAAGGATGCATGTCTGAAAACCGTGTTACCAGTATGGAAAATTTGGAAAGCTCTGGATTAGAGGGTTGCAGCTCTGCTACTCGGCAGATATACATACACACAGGCCTGTTATTTTCCCCATTCCTTCCAGAGTCATGCGACTGATGCAGGTGTGTACCTTGGTGGGTGGTCTGGCGAGGATGATTCAGGTGATCCTACAGTCTGGTCCTGACATGGTGAACATCATGGTCCTGCTTTTTGCCATCATGTTGGTGAGACACCTTCATCAGCTCTTCCTACCTTTCCTCAAATGCTAATGATCACAAACAAACTCTAACCCCGTTTGTCTCTATTTACTTTTGCATCTCTACATAGATAAAAGTGTAGGATTTTTTTTCCACACCAGCACATTTTAATATAAAAAAGGAAAATCGACAACATGCCCTTCTGAACCATGCCCTGCCCTCCTGCACTTTTCAAAATACACATACATTGCTTAAAAAAAAGATGGGAAGAAGGCAATGACAAATCATTTCTGAGTCCTAGGAAAACTCAGTGACACATATGAGAATGTCAACAAGTGACTTGAAGATACATGTTTGACTTCAATTTATTTGGATGCATTGGATCCAGCTCTTCTGTTTCCCCTTCCCTTAATTTTTTTCTCTGATGGTCAAATTTCCAAACAAATTGTAAAGACCCTCTTTCTACATTGGCAGTGTTGCAGTGGAGATACCCTTACTGTGGAGGGAGCCATGGGTTAAGAAGTCAAATGAGAACATGTTTCAGTGGTTAGAGAGTAGAATTGTGCACGGAATTCATTTCTCCTTTTTCCTTCATTTCTTTCGGTACTTCAGGAGCATGTAACGGGAAGGCCCCTCCTGGTACGAAAATCAGCTCAACACGAAAGCAAGTGGAAACGGGTGCTGGCTCCAAGCCTGCTTTTCGGCATCACAGTTTAATCTTTTTTATTACCATATTTTATGGCATACAAGGCGACTGGGGGTATAAAACGACCCCCAACTTTTAAAGATAAAATACTGAGTTAGGGATATATTCGCCATTTAAGACTACCCCTCTTCCAACACTATGCCCCTGCTAGTCTCCCCGCTCTCTTTTCAAGGGCCTCCTCCTCGCTCACCATTCACCTCCTCTGAAGGCCACTGGGCTTGCCTAGGCCCAAGGAAGTGCCTCCGGATGATGACTTCCAGCAGCCCTGGGCAGTGGCGTGCCTTCGATATGTTCACTGAGGCATTCTGGGAGCTGTATTTCCCTGAATCCTACTGCTCCCAGAATGTTTCAGCAAGCTCATCCAAGGCACACTGCCACCCAGGGCTGCTGGGAGTTGTCCAGAGATGTTTTCTTGCACCTTTGGATGATGACTCCCAGCAGCCCTGGACGGCGGCATGCCTTGGATGTGCTCGCTGAGGTATTCTGGGAGCAATAGGAGTCAGAGAACTACAGCTTCCCAGAATGCCTCAGCAAACATATCCAAGGCACACTGCTGCCCAGGGCTGCTGGAAGTCGTCGTCCAGAGGCACTTCCTTGGGCCTAGGCAAGCACAGTGGCCTTCGGAGGAGGTGAGCGCGAGGGCGGAGGAGGTCCTTGAAAGAGCGGGAGAGCGGGGCCCGCAGGGAAAGCCCAGCGGGCCATCACCCCAAGCCGGTCTCTGTGGCAATGCAGCCTGCCACTCCCCCTCCCCATGCCCTCCCTCCCCCCACCCTCCTCCTCCTCCTCCCCCCTCCTCAGGCCACGCCACTAAGGGAAATTTTATTCTTTTCTTTTAATTATTATTATTTTAATGTATACCCGACGTACTGGACAACCCCCGACTTTTCATAAGATTTTCCAGGCTTAAAAAGTCATCTAGTATGCCGGAAAATATGGTAATTCCCCAGCAAACAAAAAGTACACCCCCTCATTCCCTGAAAACTACTCTCCTCTTCCAGGAGGTTATCACTCTTCCTCAGCCCCTGGTGTCGCAATGGGTTAAACCCTTGTGATAGCAGGAATGAAGACTGACAGGAGAGCGCAGATGAGCTCCCTCTGTCAGCTCCAACTCCCCTTGTGGGGTTGTTGTTGTTGTTCATTCGTTCAGTTGTCTCCGACTCTTCGTGACCTCATGGACCACCCACGCCAGAGCTCCCTGTCGGCCGTCACCACCCCCAGCTCCTTCAAGGTCAGTCCAGTCACTTCAAGGATGCCATCCATCCATCTTGACCTTGGTCGGCCCCTCTTCCTTTTACCTTCCACTTCCCCAGCATCATTGTCTTCTCTAGGCTTTGCGGTCTCCTCATGATGTGGCGAAAGTACGTCAACTTTGTCTCTAGTATCCTTCTCTCCAATGAGCAGTCGGGCTTTATTTCCTGGAGGATGGACTGGTTGGATCTTCTCGCAGTCCAAGGCACTCTCAGAACTTTCCTCCAACACCACAGTTCAAAAGCATTTATCTTCCTTCGCTCAGCCTTCCTTAAGGTCCAGCTCTCACATCCGTAGGTTACTACAGGGACTAGGATCTTTGTTGCCAGTGTGATGTCTCTTTACTATTTTTTCGAGATTGGACATTGCTCTCCTCCCAAGAAGTAAGCGTCTTCTGATTTCCTGGCCACAGTCTGCATCTGCAGTCATCTTTGCGCCTAGAAATACAAAGTCTGTCACGGCCTCCACATTTTCTCCCTCTATTTTCCAGTTGTCAATCATTCTTGTTGCCATAATCTTGGTTTTTTTGATGTTTAGCTGCAACCCAGCTTTTGCGCTTTCTTCTTTCACCTTGATTAGAAGGCTCCTCAGCTCCTCCTCGCTTTCGGCCATCAGAGTGGTGTCATCTGCATATCTGAGGTTGTTAATGTTTCTTCCAGCAATTTTCACCCCAGCTTTGCATTCATCAAGCCCCGCACATCGCATGATGTGTTCTGCATACAAGTTAAAAAGGTTGGGTGAGAGTATGCAACCTTGCCGTACGCCCGATCTTGAACCAGTCTGTTGTTCCGTGGTCAGTTCTTACTGTTGCTACTTGGTCCTTGTACAGATTCCTCAGGAGAGAGACAAGGTGGCTTGGATGCCCATCCCACCAAGAACTTGCCACAATTTATTATGATCCACACAGTCAAAGGCTTTAGAATAGTCAATGAAGCAGAAATAGATGTTTTTCTGAAACTCCCTGCCTTTCTCCATTATCCAGCGGATATTGGCAATCTGGTCTCTCGTTCCTCTGCCTTTTCTAAACCCAGCTTGAACATCTGGCAACTCTCGCTCCATGTATTGCTGGAGTCTTCCTTGCAGGATCTTGAGCATTACCTTACTGGCATGAGAAATAAGGGCCACTGTACGGAAGTTTGAGCAATCTTTCGCATTTCCCTTTTTTGGTATGGGGATATAAGTTGATTTTTTCCAGTCTGATGGCCATTCTTGTGTTTTCCATATTTGCTGGCATATGGCATGCATCACCTTGACAGCATCATCTTTTAAGATTTTAAACAGTTCAGCTGGGATCCCGTCGTCTCCTGCTGCCTTGTTGTTAGCAATGCTTCTTAAGGCCCATTCATCCTCACTCCTCAGGATGTCTGGTTCTAATACATTCACCACACCATCAAAACTATCCTCGATATTAATATCCTTCCTATACAGATCTTCTGTATAGTCTCGCCACTTTCTCTTGATCTCTTCAGCTTGTGGGGAAAACATCAAAAACATGTTTTCCCCACATCAAAAGGTGTTGTGGGGAAAACATCAAAAACATTCGAGCTTGTAAAGAGATTGCGTGTATAGCGTGCAGACCCAGAAAGCATGCACGCCTGCCAGTGCCTGCAATCAAGTACCTCCTCTAAAGTAGAAACAGCAGGTAAAAAGAAGCCTCCTTGAAGCGCCGGGAAGAGGAGTCTGGGTAGGAAGCCCCCCCCCCATAATATATCAAGACAATTTGCTGGCCAACTTGCTTATCATCTAATTAACTGACCTCAGACACTTGTTTCTGCTTCAACAAGCAGCTCTTATCTTTATTTACATTTCATTCATTTCAACAACACTTTCTCGTTAGCACAGTCATGATGCAAGAGAGAAGAAACAAAGCAATTACGTCTGCTATATTTATACCAAACTTTTATCAGCTTATTAATTCAGTGTCCAGCCTCCTTGTCTATTGCACATCTTTCTTGTTTGCTCTACGCATGCTTCATTGTGTTCTAAAAATTAACTCTCTCACAGCTAGCAATATGGACATTTTAAACTTATATAATATATACTGTTTTGACATTACACTGATATAATGGGCCGATAGAAAATAGATCTTTCGGCATCCCAAAAACAGATATCTGCCTTCCCGATTTCAGGAGGCTCCCAAAAACAGGTCAAGGTTTACCCCGAATGCACAACTCTTTTAGAGAGGGACTATATATTGCCCCTACTAAGGAAGGATAGTCTGTATCTCTCTCTGTTTTTTTTCAAGCAGTTGAGCATATATATATACTTTATTTGTACCCCGCTACCATCTCCCCAAGGGACTCGGTTCAGTTTACATGAGGCCGAGCCCACAATACATCAGCAAAAACAACAACAACAACAACACAAAACAATATGAAACTCATAAACAAAAAACAGCAGTAAACATTAACAATAGCACAACAACACATTAAAAACCTATGGCTGGGCCAAATGTAATAATTAATTTTTTTAAAAAATATTGCTGAGCTTGACCAGGTGAAATATATAATTAGGATAGAATTTTGGAGAGGAAAGGGGTGTGCAGACAATCCTAGATCATTGATAAAGTGCATTTAGGGTGCATTTAGGGACATATCGCTAGGAGTTTCCTTATTCTGGGAAAGCACACTGGAACAACCATGTCTTCAGGCGCCTCCTAAAGACTGCCAGAGTTGGGGCATGCCCGATGTCCTTGGGGAGGGAGTTCCAGAGTCGAGGGGCCAACACCGAAAAAGCTCTTTCCCTCGTCCCCACCAATCACGCTTGCGATGGAGGTGGGAGCGCGAGCAGGGCCTCTCCAGATGATCGACGAGATCGTGTGGGTTCATATACAGAAATGCGGTCACAAAGGTAGGCGGGTCCCAAACCGTTTAGGGCTTTGTAGGTAAGAACCTGCACCTTGAATTGGGACCGGAAAATGAACGGCAGCCAGTGGAGCTCCTTGAACAGGAGGGTTGACCGCTCCCTGTAAGGAGCACCAGTTAACAGCCTGGCAGCCGCCCGTTGAACCAATTGAAATTTCCAGGCTGTTTTCAAGGGCAGCCCCACATAGAGTGAATTACAGTAATCGAATCTGGAGGTGACTAAGGCATGGACCACTTGATATATTCAAGCAGGTTTTCAACACTTAAGATAAAAGGGGTTCTAAACTGACTAGCATGGACCCCTGAATTGATCTTAAAGTTATGTATTATGTATATAAAATCTTAGTTGGAAGGGACCACAAGGGCCATATTGTCAGTCAGTCAGTCAGTCAGTCAATCAATCAATCAATCAATCAATTAATGATGCTTTTATTACAGTCAACAAACAATGCAATTGTTATATAGAAAGAAGTGTGTGCAAGCTGTATTGGGGAACATAACAGGCCATATTGGGATGGTACACAAAAGGATATAGTTAAAAGCAAGGAAAGACACTGACAAAACAGCTTAATAAATATGTTTAAAATTGAGTACAGAACAGATACAGTTGAAACCAAACAATTATATGTGTATTAAAGGTAAAATTAAAACTGTTCCTGGAATCCCCATATAACACCTGGCAAGTTTGGTCCATCAGGGAATCCTTAACTTTCAACAACAGCACATCTTGTCACAACTACACTGAATGTAGTTTTTTAAAAAGAAAAGATGACTGTAAGTCAAATTGACAGGACCCATAACAACAGATTGGTATTGCTAAGCATCTGTCTAGGTCCATGTTGTAGTATTGCTCCTTTTAACCAACTGATGTAAACATCAGTTTTGCAAACTTTTTTCATTTTGTCCTTGTTTGTTCTTTTCGTAGGTCTTCTCTGTCTTTGGTGTCACGCTCTTTGGAAGTGTTGTCCCAAAACATTTTGGAAACCTGGGTACTGCATTATACACTCTCTTCATCTGTATAACTCAGGACGGGTGGATTATCATATATGATGACTTTGAGTGAGTACACATCTCTTCCCACATTGAGTCACAGTAAGTTATAGAATCATAGAATAACAGATTTGGAAGAGACCACATGGGCCATCCAGTCCAACCCTCTTCTGCCATGCAGGAAAAGCACAATCAAAGCACAGCCGACAGATGGCCATCCAGTCTCTGTTTAAGGAGACTTCATTGGACACTCAGGCAGAGAGTTCCACTGTTGAACAGCTGTTATGGTCAGGAAGTACTTCCTAATGTTCAGGTGGAATTTCCTTTCTTTCCTGTTATTTGAACCCATGACTCCATTGAGTCTAAGGGGCCTTCCAGACAGGCTCTATATCCCAGGATATGATTTTCTGCTTTAAACTGGATTATATGCCAGATAATCTGGGATAAACAGAAAACCTGGGATCAGATCATGGGATATTGAGCCTGTCTGGAAGGGCCCCTAATCTCCAGGGCACAGAAGACAAGCCTGCTCACTCTTCCTTATGACAACCTTTCATGTCAGCTCACAGCGGTAGCTCCCAATGAAAACACAGGAATGCGCTCTGGTGTAAAAGAGAAACTTTACTGCTGGAAACACAGACATGTGAAAAGCCGAGATTGCTCAGCGCCAGTTGGTCACTCCTTATATACACACACCCCTCTGTGACGGCGCGAGTGGCACCACCTATGTATAGAACTGTTAGTTGCAAGATTTAAACTGTTGTATCATGCTTAGTCCTGCCCTTTTACCCTGCTTATGTATAGTTGTATGGATTGGTTACTTATAGTTGTCAATCAGTACTGTTTGGCTCCACCTCTTCCTGCAGGAGGGGAGTGTTTCCTTTCTTTTCATTCTGCCATCAGAGTTTCTACCAGATGGACATAAGAGACTTGACTCTAAAAGACCCTGATTGAAATTACCTCTCAGCACCAGTTCTGAGGTTTTTACCCTTGAGACTTGTGCTTCATGTTCAGACCAACCTGAACAACGTTGGAAGTCTCAAGCGCCTTCAAACCGGTTCTTTTGGCACCAAAGGAAGATCCTGAGTCTTCAAACATAGGCCATCTGAACTGGGGTTGTGGTTTGCTCCAGCATTCACAGCCATTGAGGAAAGAGGAAACTTGGAAAAGCTTCTCAGCTTCAAACACCTTGGACCCAGGACTAACTGAGACTGTAACGTATATTTTCCTTCACCCCTCTGAAGTTTCCAGCTCATTGTTTTAAAGAAATAACTCTTTGTGATCAATAAAACTTATTTTGAGTTATTTACAGCGTTTTGGGTTTTTGAGAGTTCCAGTTTCCTATAGGAGGGCAAGAAGCAATCCCCTGGGGATAGATGCCATCCCTCCTTCATTAAGAATAATAGCCCCCAGGTGCGATGGCACACCTCACTTGAAAATGCATTTCCCACCAAACCAAAATCCCGCGCCAAACTGCTAGCCGTTTTCTCCCAAGGTCAGCAGCTGCAAGTTCCTTATCAATGTCCTACGTCAGGACCCTGGTTTTCAGCGCCATAACTGAGGGCCTGGAAACTGGATCTTGACACTTTCACATATTTATGCATGGCTCTCACGTCTCCTACAGAACAATGAAGCTAACAAGAAATGGAAAGTTACCTTGGAAGGCCAAGAGCTTGAACACTGTTTCCATCCTAAATATCTTGGTATTACCTTAGCTCGAACACTAACATATTAGGAAACACTACATGAACACCAAGCACAAACTAGCTGCACGCAATAACATCCTGTGGAAACTTACTGATAGCGCATGCAGTGCAGACCCAAAACTAATAAGAACATCAGTTCTAGCCTTGTCTGACTCAACTGCTGAGTATGCCTCCCCTGTTTGACACAAGTCTGCCCACGTGAAGCAGGTGAATATAGCATTGAATGAAACATGCAGAGCAATCACAGGATGTCTCAAACCTACACCTGTTCATAAACTCTACTAACTAGCTGGCATTCCCCCCCCCTCCCCGATGAGCGACGGAAAGTTGCTGTCAATTGTGAGAGAAATACGGTTGAACACTGTGAAAGCCATCCACTATATGGCTATCAGCCTCCTCCCAGTAGACTCAAATCAGGGAAAAGCACTCCTCTTAACATTCCCCAAGCAACAGGAAGAATATCCCTGTGGGCAGCTAAACCGGGAAATCCCAACTGGATGCCCCCCTCCATGAGGCAAACCAAGAATAGGCAACGTGGAAGTCCCTGAACAGACTCAGAAGTGGAGTGGTTAGATCAAAAGACAACCTAGCAAAATAGCATGACCTAGAAAAACCATCCACTTTGTGGTGACTGTGGAGCAGAACAGACAACTCCACATCTGTATGCTTGTCCACAATGTCCTGCCTCATGCACAGAGGAAGAATTGTTTGAGGCTACAGACAATACGGTTGCTGTTTCCCGTTTCTGGTCAAAAGATATTTAGCCACATGTGCCCCTTCTATTTTTATCAGTTTTATACTAATTTATGCAATGCTTTTGATATGAAAAAAAGTCTCCTTTCAATTTTCTCTTCAAACTGCATTCTGTGAGAGGACAGAATGCAAATCAAGTCTAATGCGCCATTGAATCTAATGCACACTTCAATTTTTTAAAACCCTGACACCAAAAAGAAAAGGGATTTGACATTGAATGTGATGTGCAGTGGCAAAAAGTGCATTCTTTGTAATGTGACCATTCCAGTTGCTACCTGCTTGGAATCTCTTCTTTAAAAACAAAAGTGTTGGAACATGAAAGTTTCAGCAATGGAAAATAAAACTTTGGAGTGCATCAATAATGTGGAATGAATCCACTTTAATTGCCTTGGTTCAATGTTGTGGAATCACGAGGGCTGTAGTTTGACTAAGCCTTGAGCCCTCTCTATCAAAGGATGTAGGTGCTTCACCAAACTACAAATCTCAGGATGCCATAACATTGAGCCATGGCAATGAAATTAGAGATAATGTCCTTCAAATAGGTTCACCAGCTCTTCCTGAAATAGCTTCCCCTTTTGCTTTGGCTCAGCACTAAGAAGACCGTATGACTCGAATGTAATGCTCATCCTAATTTTTTTTGCAAAGTCATTTTGCCAAAAATGATGAGCATTAGATTTGAGTAAATCTATGTATATAATAAAAGTCAGTGTTTGTATGCAGAGGGAGGACGGTGTATGTGGCAGCTTTCTGATTGGCTGCCACTTTCACAGGCCACTGTGACCAGCACGGGCAATGGACCTGCACCAAACTTGGCACACAGAGCCCCCATGACCTACTCTACATCCTACTGCAGTTTGGAGGAGGGCTCTCCATGGATGATGGGACTTGAAGTACCTCCACTCACTTCCCGAGACCGTTGCGACCCTCATCCAATGCCCAATCAAGACCAAACTTCGCACACATAACCCCCATGACCCTCTTTCCGTCCTGATGAGGGTTGGGAGAGGACGAACAATGGATGTTTGGATTTGTTGTACTTTCCCACCCTTTTGTTCCGACAGACTACTGCGGCCCCCAACAAAGACCAATAAAGACCAAACTTGGCACACACAGCCCCCATGACCAACTCTACATCCTACTGCTGTTTGGAGGAGGGTGGGCCAGGGATGATGGGACTTGCAGTACAACCACTTACTTCCCGAGACTGCTGTGACACTCATCCAATGACTGATCAAGACCAAACTAGACACACAGAGCCCCCATGGCCCACTCTACATCCTGGTGCTGTTTGGAGGACGATGGACCATGGACGATGGGACTTGCAGTACCTTTACTAACTTCCTGAGAGCACTGCGAGCCACATAAATGACCGATAAAGACCAATCTTGGCACACAATGCCTTTCTCAAATTACCCGTGCAGCACCGGGTCCCCAAGCTAGTAAAGTAATAAAAATGCTTCACAAAGCTCATTTTAAGTCAGGGTAAGCAAATTTCGGGCTTGAAGTATCTACTTTGGGGTTTGTTTGTTTTTGGGTGAATTGAGATCGTTGTTCAAGAAAAACAATCAGGCATAAACAAGGCAGGTTATTAGGAACTGAAGTCCAAAACACCTGGAGAGTCAAAGTTGGCCCAGGCCTGTGATAGAATCAGTGTAGATTTTTATTTAGGCAGGCATTTAAAGATGAAGGTGGTTTAGATTTAGTCAGGAGATGCTATGTTTTTAACTTTGATTATGTTTTGATGGATTTTAAGAGATTTTTTTAAAGTGCTCATTCTGTTTTAATGTTTGTATATTTCAAATTGGATACCAATGCTTTTTTATAAAGCTGTTTTAAGACCCCTTGGGGGAGATAAAATGGAGTATAAATAAATATATTACTACTACTACTACTAATAATAATAATAATACCAGATCTTAATTGATCTTAACAGATTAGAGAGATGGGCTAAAACTAACAAAATGAAGTTCAACAGTGGCAAATACAAGATACTCCACTTAGGCAGAAAAAATGAAATGCAAAAATACAGAATGGGGGATGCGTGGTCCCCGTGGACAGGTTAAACATGAGCCAACAATGTGATGTGGCAGCAAAAAAAGCCAATGGGATTTTGGCCTGCATCAATAGGAGCATAGTGTCTAGATCCAGGGAAGTCATGCTACCCCTCGATTCTGCCTTGGTTAGACCACACCTGGAATTGAAGAGAGATATTGACAAGCTGGAATGTGTCCAGAGGAGGGCGACTAAAATGATCAAGGGTCTGGAGAACAAGCCCTATGAAGAGCAGCTTAGCGAGCTGGGCATGTTTAGCCTGGAGAAGAGAAGGCTGAGAGGAGATATGATAGCCATGTATCACATGAGAGGAAGTCATAGGGTGGAGGGAGAGAACTTGTCTTCTGCTGCCCTGAAGATTAGGACACGGAACAATGGCTTCAAACTGCAAGAAAGGGGATTCCATCTGAACATGAGGAAGAACTTCCTGTGAGAGCCGTTCAGCAGTGGAACTCTCTGCCCCAGAGTGTGGTGGATGCTCCTTCCTTGGAGGCTTTTAAACAGAGGCTGGACGGATATCTGTCGGGGGTGCTTTGAATGCAATTTTCCTGCTTCATGGCAGGTGGGTTGGACTGGATGGCCCACAAGGTCTCTTCCAGCTCTATAATTCTATGATTCTAAGATGAGTCTTGCATTTCGTTTGTGGAGGTAAAATGTGTTTTGGAGCAGCAGCTTGTAGCATCCAGGTTTTTGCAGCAACTATTTTTGCTACTTCATAACACAAATGTTATTGTTGTTGTTTTTTTAATGTGACTCAACAAGGTGTTTTAATTCCTCTGCAGACAAGAAGGCCTTGCCCTGGAGATAGGAGGGGCCCTCTACTTCTTTATCTTCATCACGTTTGGGGCCTTCATCTTTGCAAATCTCCTTGTGGCTGTGGTGACAACCAACCTGGAACAGTCCATGGCTGAATACAACGTGGAGAAGCAACTGCAATCGCAGTCCCCCCTTGAAGCGGCTAATTTAGGACTGGACGTGAGTCCTCAATTCAGGGGCTGGAAACCAGAAAAATATTAGGCACAGAGCGGTTTATAACTTGCCAGATTTAGATTTGGATAATTGGGAGTACCTATTTATTTATTTATTTATTTATCGTGTCAGAAGCAAATTGTAAATATAGTCTATAACGTATTTAAAAAATCCACAAAGTTTAAACTTGTCATTGTACTAAATTTCCTTTGACCAGAAGCTGGCCACTTGGGGTGCCTCTGGTGCCGCTGTAAGAAGGTCCTCCATTGTGCATGTTGTCTCAGACTGCATTGCAGTAGGTGGTCTGTGGTTTGTTCTTCTCTGCACTCGCATGTCATGGACTTTCACTTTATGGCCCCATTTCTTATAAGGTTGTTATGAATGACTTTTCAATGATTTTAAAGCATAGGTTCTTTTTATTGCAATTTCCAGTGTGAGAAGGTATATCAGATTACAGAAAACATTTAGACAAAGAATGACATTGGACATACAGACATACAGATTCTATGCAACTACATTGGATTCACAATTACATTGGTTAACAAACAAACATAGGGGAATTACATTTTCATTCAACATTCACACCACATGTACATGCATTCATCCACATGCATCCAAAATATTACCATATCCTTTTCTCCCTCCTTGGAGAAGCACCTGTTACGCCAGACGCTGATTTCCTGCAGCCTGCCAACGCATAGTTCCATAACTTCCATAACGCCATAACTTCAAAACGCTGAAATGCCAAAACTTCTTTCCCTAAGAACAGTGCCAAGGACCAGACCCCTGTTTTCCATACAGCAGAACCTGACTCCCTGCATAAAATCTAAGACTCCAATAGCGCACTTCTTCCTCTTCCCTTGAGAAAGAAGCCCCAAAGTGTCCAGAATCATGCTTTCCCATAGCATATCTGACACTCTCCAAATACACCACCTCTCTCCTTCCCATGGAGCAGAGCATGGCGGGTGGAACAGACTCCTCGGTCTGCCACGATTTGAGCATTATTAGGCTGAGTCTTTTATAGGAAAATTCTGTTGATGTAGTCCCAAAGTTGTAAATTAATGATAGACGTCTTCCATCCTGGATCCATCCCAGTTTCCTGGCCAGATGTTGATCTTCTTGATTGGTGTTGATCTTATGTTGACTTCCTTCTTAACATAAGGAAGGTTGCAAGCATTTCCTTTATCACTGTCCCAGTTCTTATCACAGCTTCTCATTAACAGGTTTTAATCACAAAGCAGCAAGCAGGTAGTAAGTAATTGCAGGCCTTAATATTATACTGGTGTTTCCAAAATTATTAGCTCCATCCATACATCCTTCCATTCTTCCATTCATTCCCACACATCATTTTAAATTCACATTTATCAAATTTTCACATTGAATTTCTTATTACATATTCCCCCTCTTGCATATAGATTTCATTTTAAATCTATATGCAACATATAGTAAAGTAACCTCTAAAGTTAAAAATCATATCCTACTTCTTAAAGCAAGTGTTATTCATACTGGAAACGAATGCCAAATAACATCAAATATGTCATGAATAACTTTCCCACATTGGAAAAGAATATCCCACTCCTGACACCAATTATGTTATGAATGACATTTCAATAACTTTGAAGCATAGGTTCTTTTTATTGCAATTTCCAGTGTGAGAAGATATATCAGATTACAGAAAACATTTAGACAAAGAATGACATTGGACATACAGACATACAGATTCTATGCAACTACATTGGATTCACAATTACATTGGTTAACAAACAAACATAGGGGAATTGCATTTTCACTCAGCATTCACACACATGTACATGCATTCATCCACATGCATCCAAATATTACCATATCCTTTCTCCCTCCTTGGAGAAGCACCTGTAAGGCCAGACCCTGATTTCCTGCAGCCTGCCAACGCATAGTTCCATAACTTCCATAACGCCATAACTTCAAAACGCCGAAATGCCAAAACTTCTTTCCCTAAGAACAGTGCCAAGGACCAGARCTCTGTTTTCCATACAGCAGAACCTGACTCCCTGCACAAAATCRAAGACTCCAAAAGCGCACTTCTTCCTCTTCCCTTGAGAAAGAAGCCCCAAAGTGWCCAGAATCATGCTTTCCCAMWGCAHATCTGACACTRTCRYAATACACCARCTCTSWCCTTCCCATGGAGCAGAGCATGGRYGGTGGAWCAGARTCCTCGGTCTGCCACYATTTGAGCATTATTWGDCTGAGMCTTTTATAGGAAAATTCTGTTGATGTAGTCCCAAAGTTGTAAATTAATGARAGACGTCTTCCATCCTGGATCCATCTCAGTGTTGATCTTCTTGATTGGTGTTGATCTTCTGTTGACTTCCTTCTTAACATAAGGAATGTTGCAAACATTTCCTTTATCACTGTCCCAGTTCTTATCGGAGTTTACTCTTCATATCTCCTTAATAGGATTTAATCACAAAGCAGCAAGCAGGAAGTTGGTCACTGCAGGCCTTAATATTATACTGGTGTTCCCAAAATTATTAACTCCATCCATACAACTTCCATTCTTCCATTCATTCCCACACATCATATTAAATTCACATTTATCAAATTTGCACATTGAATTTCTTATTACAAGGTTGGCTCTGCATCTCGTGATGCCAGAGCACAACCTGTTCAGCGCCTTCCAAGTTGCCCAATCTTCTGTGTGCCGAGGAGGGAGTCTCTCATTTGGTATCAGCCACTGATTACAGTTCCGGGTTTTAGCCTGCCACTTTTGGACTCTCACTTGCTGAGGTGTTCCTGCGAGTATCTTTGTAGATCTTAGGAAACTATTTCTTGTTTTAAAATGTTGACATGCTGACTGATATCTGAGGATGGGCCGCAGATGTCAATGCCTTGGTCCTTTCATTACTGGCTGCTACTTCCCGACAGATATCAGGTGGTGCAAAAACCGGCAAAACAGTATAATTTCTCCAGTTGTGTGGGGCGTAGACATCCTGGGATAATGTGGCATGCCTCATTAAGGGCCACATCCACTGTTTTAGCATGGTGAGATGTATTCCACGCTGGGCATGCGTACTCAGCAGCAAAATGCAAGGGCAGATGTCTTCACTGTGTATGCTAGTGATCCCCAGGTTGTGCCAGTCAGCTTTCGTATGATATTATTTCTAGCACCCACTTTTTGCTTGATATTCAAGCAGTGCTTCTTGTAAGTCAGAGAACGGTCCAGAGTGACTCCCAGGTATTTGTGTGTGCTGCAGCGCTCCAGTGGGATTCCTTCCCACGTAAACTCAAGATGCTTGTCGGTTCTTAAAGTGAAAAACACATGTCTGCATTTCAGATGGATTAGGAATCAGCTGGTTTTCCCTTTAATAGGCTTGTATGAAGGCCTTTTTTTTTTACAACTCCGTTTCTTTATGAGTTCTTCCTCACAAATAATCTCCTCCTCTTTTATCTCACCTTGAGTTTTAGCATTTTATCTTGCACATGTGGCCTGCTCATTGCCATTGTGATTGTGGATATTGTATTTTTATATTGCTTATTATATTCATATGTTTTATGTATTTTACTGTATTGTCTGTGTCTTTGGTTTTTATTTTATTGTAATTTGTTGTTTGGGCTTGGTCTCATGTAAGCCGCTCTGAGTCCCCATTGGGGGAGATGGTGGCGGGGTATGAATAAAGATGATGATAATGATAATGATGATGATGATGATGATGATTATTATTATTATTATTATTATAGGCAGTAAGAGCACCTAAAGCTTCAGATAGCTTCTATTCCGCCATTTCAAAGCTCCCTGTTTGAATGGTGATGGCATGGTCATCAGCAAAGATGAAACTCTCTGTCCCTTCTGGTAGTGGCTGATAATTTGTGTAAATGTTAAACATTGATGGAGCAAGTATGCTCCCCTGAGGCAGGCCGTTCTTCTGTTTTTGCCATCTGCTTCTCTGGCCATGGGACTCAACAATAAAGCTCCTGTTTTGTAGCTGATTTCCTATGAAGCAGGTGAGGTGGTCATCCTTTGCTATGTTATGACTATCTATGACCCTACCTATGCTATATGACCCTTCTTTTAGGGTGGGTCTACATCAGGCATGGGCAAACTTTGACTGTCCAGGTGTTTTGGACTTCAACTCCCACAATTCCTAACAGCTAGCAGGCTGTTAGAAATTGTGGGAGTTGAAGTCCAAAACACCTGGAGGGCCAAAGTTGACCCATGTCTGGACTAGATAGATCTGACCCAGCAAGACTGCAGTTACATTCATGCCATTGTTGTTGTTGTTGTTGCTGTTGTACAACTTCTGTGATTACGTAGCATTGATCCATGGCAGTTAAAATGGCATCAAGCTGCATTAATTCTACAAATTTCAAAACTTGGAAAACCTGGCCTCATCCATAAGAGATTCAGTTCCATAGTACCAAACACACTAATATTTGATCTGAGCGCACAGCCACACAAACCATAAGGCAAAGCAATATGGAAACTTACTCACCAACAAATATGTGGCTTGGTTGGCTGACGTGTATGGGATGCCTCTTATTTTTCTTTGTGCTTAAGCAGGATGACACGGATGATGATGTCTTCATGGGCCAGTCTGAACCTGTGCATGTGAAAGAGGTCATGCTTGGAACACCCATGGTCCACCGGCAGGAGCTGCTGTGCGGTGGGAACTTAGGCAACCTGAATGAAGCCACTTGTGAAGAACTCTGCGTTGTCCTGGAAGCGATCCACGAGAATCTGAAGGAATACCAAGTGATCCGGGATGAGCTTGACCGGTTAAGAGTCATTTGTCATTTTGTTATCCCCCCCCCCCCCCCCCCGCTTTTTTAAAAATTCAAATTTACAAATGTTATAAATACACACAGTACACATATCATACACAACACCACATATAAGACAATCCTCTTGCCCACATCCTACACAAAGTTGACCCCTATCCCACTCACCCGTGCACCCACCACCTTGACTTCCATCCCTAGTCACTATGATGCCTATTACAATTCTTATTTACCCTTCTGACATGCTTAACCTGCTGAGCTAAGGGCCGGGCTTTAGCTCAGTGGGTTAAACCGCCTGCTGCAGAAAATCTTACTGATCAAAAGGTCGTCAGTTCAAGCCCAGGTTGGGGGAGTTCCCAACCATCAGCCAGTTTCTGCTCACCTAACAGTTCAAAAATATCAATGTGATTAGATAAATAGGTGCCGCTTCAGTAGGGAGGTAATAAAAGGTGCCCATGCGGACATGCTGGCAATTTGATTGGGAGAACCTCTACAGCAGGGGTCCTCAAACTACGGCCCCGAGGGCCGGATACGGCCCTCCAAGGTCATTTACCCGGGCCTCACTCAGGGTCAACCTAAGTCTGAAACAACTTGAAAGCACACAACAATAACAATCCTATGTCATCAGCCAAAAGCAGGTCCACACTTCCCATTGAAATACTAATGTTTATATTTGTTAAAATTGTTCTTCATTTTAATTATTGTATTGTTTTTAAGTGTTTTTTGCACTACAAATAAGATATGTGCAGCGTGCATAGGAAATCATTCATGTTTTTTCACATTATAATCTGGCCCTCCAACAGTTTGAGGGACTGTGACCTGGCCCTCTGTTTAAAAAGTTTGAGGACCCCTGGTCTACAGAAAACAAAGTTCCTCTGCATATATTAACGATATATATATTAACCATAAATTCCTCTTGGAGCTGTTTACAATTCACTTCTTTGACTCTCCTTCCAGATATGCCATGACCCATTTCTATCTCTTTAAGAACTCTTTGTTGTTTTTATCCACCAAATTATTGGATCATTTGTCCATTTGCATATAGACAATCAAGCTATTCTATTCTATTCTTAAATGTCAAAATAGTGCCTCACCTCTGAGAAGTTACCTGATAGGGATGCAAATACATTCGATTGAAGGAGCCATAAAGATTTTTTTTGTCTTTTCGACTACTATGATTCTTACAGAATAGTTCAGGAGGTGAGGTCTATCCGATTCAACGTAGAACAGGAGCAAGAGGTTGTTTTACGAAATATCCGTGGGGCCAACATCTCAGAAACCGTACTTGGCACTGACATAATGCAGGGGAAGCCTGGCGATGTTCTGGCTACATTGATGAACCTGGAGAAGGTAAGTTGCAATACAGGATCACAGAATAGGAAGGAGACCACAAGAATAAATAATAAAGTTTTATTATTATTATTATTAAGAGCCACCCAAGCCAATACCCTGTCATGTGGGAACATTGAATCATCATCAACAACAATAGCAAAAACAACAACACCTTTATTTATATCCCGCCATAAATTTCCAGAAGGGACTTGGAGCGGCTTACAAAACAGCACATAATAGTACCATAAGGACACATAGAATACAAGTAAAATACATTATCATTTATGACAATAACAATATCAATTAACATAAAACAATACTTACAAAAGATAAAAAGCCTAACCCAATTTAGATAAAATACTCAACAAAACGCAGCAATCGCTACTAATTAAAATGGGCAGTACAACCACGTTACAAGTAACGTTGAAGTGTAGAGTCAATATTAATTTGTTTAGCTGATGTCTTAGCCCAGGGGTCCTCAAACTTTTTAAACAGAGGGCCAGGTCACAGTCCCTCAAACTGTTGGAGGGCCAGATTATAATTTGAAAAAAGCATGAATGAATTCCAATTCACACTGCACTTTTGCTTATTTCTTTTCATAGAATCATAGAATCAAAGAATTGGAAGAGACCTCATGGGCCATCCAGTCCAACCCCCTGCCAAGAAGCAGGAATATTGCATTCAAATCACCCCTGACAGATGGCCATCCAGCCTCTGTTTAAAAGCTTCCAAAGAAGGAGCCTCCACCACACTCCGGGGCAGAGAGTTCCACTGCTGAATGGCTCTCACAGTCAGGAAGTTCTTCCTCATGTTCAGGTGGAATCTCCTCTCTTGTAGTTTGAAGCCATTGTTCCGCGTCCTAGTCTCCAAGGAAGCAGAAAACAAGCTTGCTCCCTCCTCCCTGTGGCTTCCTCTCACATATTTATACATGGCTATCATATCTCCTCTCAGCCTCCTCTTCTTCAGGCTAAACATGCCCAGCTCCTTAAGCCGCTCCTCATAGGGCTTGTTCTCCAGACCCTTGATCATTTTAGTCACCCTCCTCTGGACACATTCCAGCTTGTCAATATCTCTTTTGAATTGTGGTGCCCAGAATTGGACACAATATTCCAGGTGTGGTCTAACCAAAGCAGAATAGAGGGGTAGCATTACTTCCCTAGATCTAGACACTATGCTCCTATTGATGCAGGCCAAAATCCCATTGGCTTTTTTTGCGCCACATCACATTGTTGGCTCATGTTTAACTTGTTGTCCACGAGGACTCCAAGATCTTTTTCACATGTACTGCTCTCGAGCAAGGCGTCCCCCATTTTGTATCTTTGCATTTCGTTTTTCCTGCCAAAGTGGAGTATCTTGCATTTGTCACTGTTGAACTTCATTTTGTTAGTTTTGGCCCATCTCTCTAATCTGTCAAGATCGTTTTGAATCCTGCTCCTGTCCTTTGGAGTATTGGCTATCCCTCCCAATTTGGTGTCGTCTGCAAACTTGATGATCATGCCTTCTAACCCTTCATCTAAGTCATTAATAAAGATGTGGAACAGGACCTTAGATCTAGACACTATGCTCCTATTGATGCAGGCCAAAATCCCATTGACTTTTTTGCCGCCACATCACATTGTTGGCTCATGTTTAACTTGTTGTCCACGAGGACTCCAAGATCTTTTTCACACGTACTGCTCTCAAGCCAGGCATTCTGTATCTTTGCATCATTAAAACTTTTCTTAATTTTTTATTGTGTCAGAAGTGACTTCAGAATATACTGCAAGTCGCTTCTGGTGTGAGAAAATTGGCTGTCTGCAAGGGCATTATTATTAATACCTACCAAGAAAGTTCTACAATTTCATTTACGTTGTTAGTAGGTTCATGTTTATATCATTTTATTATTATCATGCCCTCTCTCTTTCTGTATTTACATCAAATATATTTTCCACCTATAACTCTTGGGTTCGAAAGCTCTTCTGGCTTAAACATAATAGTTCAGGACGATAATATTCTCATAGTCCATTTTTAAGAATGTTCGCTGATTGCTCCAGAAGGCCAGATCTCTCCAAGTTCTCTTCCTCGAGGTTTTGTTCCCACTCGCCCATCTAGCCTTCTTTTATATCAGTCTGTTTCGCTCTCGCTCTCTTTCTGTATTTCTTTCTGTTTTTTGCCTGTCTGATGAGGTTGCAAGTTGCTAGCTCATCAAACTAGAGCATAGATCCACTTTAAATCTGGTTGGTGCCTTCTGCAGCATTCTGGGGTTTGTAGTTTAGTGAGGTCTAGGACCCGCCTGGCTGGGCATTTTAAAGCCTCCTCCCCTAAACTACAAGCCCAGAATGCTGCAGGAGACCGCAACCAGATTTAAAGTGAATCCATGCTCTGATTAGGTCTTTAGTATCACTCAGTCCAGCCTTCCCTAACTTGGCACTCTCCAAATACTCTTTTCTCACACACTCACTCTGCCTGTAGGTTTTCTGGCCAGGGATGGAGAGAGTTGTGGTCCAGCACAATCTGGACAGTGCCAGGTTGAGGGACCTTCTGTTCCTTTGCTTCCAGTATAGAATCATAGAATCAAAGAGTTGGAAGAGACCTCATGGGCCATCCAGTCCAATCCCCTGCCAAGAAGCAGGAATATTGCATTCAAATCACCCCTGACAGATGGCCAACCAGCCTATGTTTAAAAGCTTCCAAAGAAGGAGCCTCCACCACACTCCGGGGCAGAGAGTTCCACTGCTGAACGGCTCTCACAGTCAGGAAATTCTTCCTCATGTTCAGATGGAATCTCCTCTCTTGTAGTTTGAAGCCATTGTTTCGTGTCCTAGTCTCCAGAGAAGCAGAAAACAAGCTTGCTCCCTCCTCCCTGTGGCTTCCTTTCACATATTTATACATGGCTATCATATCTCCTCTCAGCCTTCTCTTCTTCAGGCTAAACATGCCCAGCTCCTTAAGCCGCTCCTCATAGGGCTTGTTCTCCAGACCCTTGATCATTTTAGTCGCCCTCCTCTGAACACATTCCAGCTTGTCAATATCTCTCTTGAATTGTGGTGCCCAGAATTGGACACAATATTCCAGGTGTGGTCTAACCAAAGCAGAATAGAGGGGTAACACTACTTCCTTAGATCTAGACACTATGCTCCTATTGATGCAGGCCAAAATCCCATTGGCTTTTTTGCTGCCACATCACATTGTTGGCTCATGTTTAACTTGTTGTCCACGAGGACTCCAAGATCTTTTTCACATGTACTGCTCTCGAGCCAGGCATTGTCCCCCATTCTGTATCTTTGCATTTTGTTTTTCCTGCCAAAGTGGAGTATCTTGCATTTGTCACTGTTGAACTTCATTTTGTTAGTTTTGGCCCATCTCTCTAGTCTGTCAAGATCGTTTTGAATTCTGCTCCTGTCCTCTGGAGTATTGGCTATCCCTCCCAATTTGGTGTCGTCTGCAAACTTGATGATCATGCCTTCTAGCCCTTCATCTAAGTCATTAATAAAGATGTTGAACAGGACCGGGCCCAGGACGGAACCCTGCGGCACTCCACTTGTCACTTCTTTCCAGGATGAAGAGGAAGCATTAGTGAGCACCCTCTGGGTTCGTCCATTTAACCAATTACAGATCCGCCTCACCGTAGTTTTGTCTAGCCCACACTGGACTAGTTTGTTTGCCAGAAGGTCATGGGGGACCTTGTCGAAGGCCTTACTGAAATCCAGGTACGCTACATCCACGGCATTCCCCGCATCTATCCAGCTTGTAACTCTATCGAAAAAAGAGATCAGATTAGTCTGGCATGACTTGTTTTTGATAAATCCATGTTGACTATTAGCGATGACCGCATTTGTTTCTAAATGTTTGCAGACCACTTCCTTAACAATCTTTTCCAGAATCTTGCCTGGTATCAACGTGAGGCTGACCAGACAGTAATTGTTTGGGTCATCCTTTTTTAAATGTAGTAAAATGTCTTGTGTCAGGAACCAGTTTCCAGGCCTTCGATTTTGGCGCTGAAAACCAGGGTCCTGACCTAGGACTCTGATAAGGACTGTGCAGCTGGTGACCTCGGGGAAAGCAGTTGGCATTTGGCGGGAGCGTTGCGCGGGACTTTCAGCTTGGCGGGAAAAAGGTTTTCAAATGTGGGGGAGTGTATAAAAGAGATGACCAGCGGCTGCTGATCAATCCCGGCTTTCTTTGTGTCTGAACATCCAGCATTAAAGGTTTCTAATTGATTACGGATCGGAGTCCTGTGTCGTTATTGGGAACAGCTGTTGTGAGTTGACAGTCTTGCAACAGCTCTAAAATTCTCTTTCTCTTTACCATCTTCCTTTTGTCAGTCCAGTGTATTTGATGCAGAATACCAAAGGGGAGCAGTGAAAACAGCAACTCTGAGAGCACGGCGGCAGTCCTTGGGAAAGGTATGTAGAACAGTGACTTAATGCATACCTTACATTTATTTTGAATGCCCTTGGTTACACTGTGGTCTGTTTAAATGCTGTTTTGCATTTGTTTGGCTGTTTGCTCAGCTGAATGGTCTTCTCACCAAGATCAAGAAAAGGGAGTGTGGTGGGTCTTCTGAGTGGCATCTCCTGGCCCTGATTTTTTATTCTTTTTTGTTTACAGCATGAAGCTACAGATGAAACGTTTCGCCGACACAGTGTGGTAAGAACCACATATTTATTTACAGTTCATTTATTTACAGTACTTATATTCTATCTGTCTCACCCTGAAGGGGACTCAGGGCGGATCACAGAACACATATACAGCAAACATTCAATGCCAACAATGTGATGTGGCGGCAAAAAAAGCCAATGGGATTTTGGCCTGCATCAATAGGAGCATAGTGTCTAGATCTAAGGAAGTAATGCTACCCCTCTATTCAGCCTTGGTTAGACCACACCTGGAATATTGTGTCCAATTCTGGGCACCGCAATTCAAGAGAGCTTTTTTGTTGAGTTCCAGGGCCAGAGAAGCAGATGGCAGAAACAGAAGAACGGCCTGCCTCAGGGAAGCGTGCTTGCTCCATCCATGTTCAACATCTACACAAATGACCAGCCACTGCCAGAAGGGACAGAGAGCGTCATCTATGCTGATGATCGTGCCATTACTGCTCAAGCAGGGAGCTTTGAGATTGTTGAACAGAAGCTCTCCGAAGCCCTAGGTGCTCTTACTGCCTACTACAGGGAAAACCAGCTGATCCCTAATCCATCCAAAACACAGACATGTGCTTTCCATCTCAAGAACAGACAAGCATCCCAAGCTCTGAGGATCACCTGGGAAGGCATCCCACTGGAGCATTGCAGCGCACCCAAATACCTAGGAGTCACTCTGGACCGTGCCCTGACCTACAAGAAGCACTGCCTGAATATCAAGCAAAAAGTGGGTGCTAGAAACAATATCATACGAAAACTTACTGGCACAACCTGGGGATCACAACCTGACACAGTGAAGACATCTGCCCTTGCGCTATGCTACTCTGCTGCTGAGTAGCGCCCAGTGTGGAACACATCTCACCACGCTAAAACAGTGGATGTGGCTCTTAATGAGACATGCCGCATTATCACGGGGTGTCTGCGCCCTACACCACTGGAGAAATTACACTGCTTAGCCGGTATTGCACCACCTGACATCCGCCGGGAAGTAGCAGCCAATAGTGAAAGGACCAAGGCAGTGACATCTCCAGCTCATCCCCTGTTTGGGTATCAGCCAGCACGTCAACGACTTAAATCAAGAAATAGTTTCTAAGATCTACAGAGACACTCGCTGGAACACCTCAGCAAGCGAGAGTCCAAAAGTGGCAGGCTCAAACCCAGAGCCTCAATCAATGGCTGATACCCAATGAGAGACTCCCCCCTGGGCACACAGAAAACTGGGCGACTTGGAAGGTGCTGAACAGACTGCGCTCTGGCACCACGAGATGCAGAGCCAACCTTAAGAAATGGGGCCACAAAGTGGAATCCACGACATGCGAGTGTGGAGAAGAGCAAACCACTGACCACCTGCTGCAATGCAACCTGAGCCCTGCCACATGCACAATGGAGGACCTTCTTGCGCAACACCAGAGGCACTCCAAGTGGCCAGATACTGGTCAAAGGACATTTAATCAACTACCAAGCTTGCAAACTCTGTGTCTTTTGTATGTATGTTTGTTTGTTTGTTTGTTTGTTCTGTCAAAAATGTAATACAACTGTTCAGTTGCCTGACACGATAAATAAAATATTGACAGATGACTACCCAACCTCTCTTTAGCAATGCCCATTTCAGGAGAGCTCCACTACTAAATATGTCTTACTTCTAGGCACCTCTTACCCATGCTGATGCTTTTATGTTAAGCCGCTTTGAGTCCCCTTTAGGGAAGATAAATAAATATAATTTGAAATAATAATAAATCAATTGTATATCGAGATGCTTGCCTAATGCTTGAAGAGTCAAAGAGACTTTTGGGGGAGGGGTGGGGCAAATACATGTTATGTTTTATCTTTCTTTCTGTTCTCCACTTTCAAAGCCGGAGCCATCAGAAAAGACCCACGGTCATCACCGCAGGCAGAGTCTGGTAAGATGCGGGAGGGATACATTTACGAAGATGTGCCTCAGACTACTTTGACACCGCCATATAATCCAGATGATCAAAGCAGACAACCCAGATTATCTTCTTTGAACTGGATTATATGAGTCTACACTGCCATATCATCCAGTTCAAAGCAGATAATCTGGGTTTTATTTGGCAGCGTAGAAAGAGAAGGGGCCACAATAACTACCCTGCTAAGGTTTACTTTCAGTGGGCACTTTTCCCTATTTGTCACGGAGAAGGGCTCAAAGGGCCAAAGTTATCAGGCTTGGAATATTGTGTCCCATACCTGGAATATTGTGTTCAATCCTGGGCACCACAATTGAAGAGAGATATTGACAAGCTGGAATGTGTCCAGAGGAGGGCGACTAAAATGATCAAGGGTCTGGAGAACAAGCCCTATGAAGAGCGGCTTAAAGAGCTGGGCATGTTTAGCCTGGAGAAGAGAAGGCTAAGAGGAGATATGATCGCTATGTATAAATATGTGAGAGGAACTCACAGGGAGGAGGGAGCAAGCTTGTTTTCTACTTCCCTGGAGACTAGGACGCGGAACAATGGCTTCAAACTACAAGAAAGGAGATTCCATCTAAACATTAGGAAGAACTTCTTGTGAGAGCCGTTCAGCAGTGGAACTCTCTGCCCCGGAGTGTGGTGAAGGCTCCTTCTTTGGAAGCTTTTAAGCATAGGCTGGATGGCCATCTGTCAGGGGTGATTTGAATGCAATATTCCTGCTTCTAGGCAGGGGGTTGGACTAGATGGCCCATGAGGTCTCTTCCAACTCTATGATTCTATGATTCTAGTAGATGAAGACATTGCTGTCACCTGCAGATCATGGAAGAGTTCCCTTTGACTTGCAGCTCCTACAATGCTCCAACCAAGATGCCTAGGGGGGAATCCTAGTGGTCCAAAAAAAAAAAACTAACATTTCCAACCTCTGGTTATCCCATCACATTGGACCAGTATCCTCCTTTGTTTCACCCTGGCTTCTTAGTTTTCTCTCCTAAAACTTCAATCTTTTTGTCCAGAAAGGGATAGAACAGGGAAAATGTGGGTCTTTAAACATTATAGCATGTATAGTTCAAGAGGATACACAGGAAGATAGAAATTAAAGAGAAATGGGCTACTAGCATGGAATGGATCGAAAGAGGTGCAGCCAATATAGATACTGTAAAAAAAGATTAAGAAAATTGTGTTCATGGTAAAAGATAAAGATATAGAGGTAAATGTGGCAGGGGGATGGGGAGGTAGAGAGCAGGGGGAAGAGGAAAAATGCAAAAAGAATAACTTTCTAAAAGAGATGAATAGATAACATAGAAATACTCCATTACTTACAGTGTGTATACACAATAGTTGTCTATTACCTATTCACAGATTGTGTGTGTGTGTATGTAAAGGTTTCCCTTTGACATTAAGTCTAGTCCGGTCTGACTCTGGGGGGTGGTGCTCATCTCCATTTCTAAGAGCCGCCGTTGTCCATAGACACGTCCAAGGTCATGTGGCCAGCATGATTGCATGGAGCAGTGTTACCTTCCTGCCAAAGCAGTACCTATTGATCTACTCACATATGCATGTTTTCGAACTGCTAGGTTAGCAGGAGCTGGGGCTAACAGTGGGAGCTCACTCTGCTCCCCGGTTTCGAACTGCCGACCTTTCAGTCAGCAGGTTCAGCAGCTCAGCGGCTCCATATCTATATAAATAAAAATGTAATGTTCGTTTGTGGGATTAACGTAACTCAAAAACCACTGGATGAATTGACACCAAATTTGGACACAATACACCTATTAGGCCAATGAGTGACCATCACTCATAAAAACACTGAAAAATACAGCAGAACATACTTAAAAAGCCAAAAAACAAAAAATACATTACAACACATGTGCAAAACCACATACACACAAACACACATATATATGCATATACACAAATACACACACATATACACATATATACACAAACAAAACACATATACACAGACTGGGCCACAGCAATGTGTGGCAGGAGAAGGCTAGTGTGTGTGTGTGTGCGCGCATGCGCGTATATGGAATATGGCCATGAACATTGACATCGATACAGATTGGCTTTTTTTATTGTGTTGCCTCCAGATTCATAGCAGGATAATGACATGCTGAATTGTATATTACAAATATGTGTATACATACATGTAAATGTTATCTGCTTCTTTAGACAGGTCTTCATCACTGAAAGTGAAAAAGAGAGAAGATTGCTGTGGAACATCTCCAAATGCAGCATGACCAATTTGTGTCAAGCATTTATCAAACTAAAACTGCTTTTCATCATAAATTACTTCTGTGTGGAACTTGCTTCTCTATTGTCGTCTGCACATAGGTTGCAACATGTACTAATATTCACATTCACTGTACATATCTTATTTGAAGTGCAAAACACCGTGAAAGAACAATACCATATTTAAAATGAAGAACAATGTTAACCAATATAAGCTTACCAGTATTTCAATGGGAAGTGTGGGCCTGCTTTTGACTGATGAGAGAGTCGTGTTAATTAGGATTAGAAGGGTGTTGGATTGAAGGGTACCCCTTTAGTTAGGCACCCCAAGGCTAGTGACAGAAAGCAAGCAGTCTCCGTAGGTGAAGCAAAATCTTTATTCAAGTGTGGCCACACAGGGAGAAACAGCCAAGACCAGTGTCTTCAAAGAAGGCTGTCTCTGACATTTGGATCTTTCAGTCACCTTATATACACGTCTTTTCGCTGCGTCATGGGCACACACCTCTCTTATCAGATCAACCATTCAAAAACATGTTTTTCTCATATTTTGCCACTTCAGTGTCTCTAACTGGTAACCCTCTACAAACTACGTAAACACACACATTATTGTAATAGATAAGCATTTTGGGTGTTAACCCACCCTGGGTACTCCCTGGGCGTACTTGACAATAGAGCATCTTGTGTCTTCTAGATACTTTATCTCCTCTTAGCTTTTGGTCTTCTGCAGGCCAGAGGAGAGGGACAAGCCTCTCTTTAGGTTTGCATTTCAGCATTTTGAAACTTCTAAGTTCTGTTAACCCTTTCAGGATTGGATGGCCCCTGGAGTTGTTGTTGTAATAATTTTTGGTGAATTTTTCGCTGTTTGGTAGCCTAGGTTTGTTTTCTGTAGAATTACTGATAGTGGGATCATTGCAGTGATGAACAACAATGGTGACAGTGAGTCACCCTTGAAAATTCCTCTCTTGGGCGTTAACAATTCCATAGCTTTCATTGCCCACAAACAACTCAGTTTTCCATTGTTTCATTGCATTTTCAGTGAACTTTCTAATATTTTCACAAACCCCAATGACATCTAGACATTTGATGATCCAACAATGTGGCAGCGAGTCAAATGCTTTTTTGTAATCAAACCAAGTTACATAGAGGTTTGTTTTGTGGCTTTTGCAATTCTCCAGTATCATTTTGTCAATCAGGAGCTGATATTTTGTGCCCCTACTTCTTCTTTTATTGCCTTTTTGTTCTACTGGCAAGATGTTATCTGCCTCATTTGATCAGCTGTTATGCCTGCAGTTTGAACATTGTAGGCAGACATGTTTTTGGCCTGTAGTTTCCTAGTATTATCCCTTTTCCTGGATCTCTCTGTATCAAATATGTCTTCCCAGTTGTTACTCATTTGCTGATGTTTCCAGTTTACAGCATTTCATTGAATTGTTCAGCCATTTTTGAGTGCAGGCTAATCAGATATTTAAGCCAAAATCAATACAGTTGATCATTGCCAGGTGATGTCCAGTTCGTGACATTTCTATTATTATTATTATTATTATTATTATTATTATTATTATTATTATTATTAGGATGTTATGAGTTTTCCATGCTGCCTGGCCATGTTCCAGAAGAATTCTCTCCTGACATTTCACTTACACCTATGGCAGGCACCCTCAGAGTTTGTGAGGTCTGTTGGAAACTAGGAAAATTGAGTTTATATATCCGTAGAATGTCCAGGGTGGGAGAAAGAACACTTTTCTGTTGGAGGTAGGTGTAAATGTTTCAATTGGCCACCTTGATTAGCATTTATAGATATATAAACCACAGTTGCCTAGTTTCCAACAAACCTCACAACCTCTGAGGATGCCTGCCATAGATGCAGGCAAAACATCAGGAGAGAATGCTTCTGGAACATGGCCAGACAGCCCGGAAACTCACAGCAACCCAGTGATTCCAGTCATGAAAGCCTTCGACAATACATTATTATTATTATTATTATTATTATTATTATTATTATTATGGCTGGATGGCCATCTGTTGGAGTGCTTTGATTGTGCTTTTCCTGCATGGCAGAAGGGTGTTGGGCTGGACGGCCCCTTGTTGTTGTTGTTGTTGAAAGGCTTGGATGGCCATCTGTTGCGGGTACTTAGTTTTGGGGACCCCCAAGGTAGACTGTTCTGTTCTCTGTGCCAAGTCCCCATTCAGCATGCAATACTTCGATCTGGCACAAACAACACATAACTGCTGCAACCATTGGAGGGCAGTGATGCCATTTTTTGTCAATGAACAGCTACTGCTGCAATGTAAAAGGAACCTACACATGATTTGGCTGTACTAATATATAATATACTAGCTGTCCCCTGCTGGCGCCCAGTCTGTTGATCTGGCAAATAAAGTAATGAGAAAGTGTTGGTTTCTAATATATGTAATTTCTTTCTGCTTGTGGGTAAACAGTATTTCTTGCTGTTTCTTTGTCAGTGTTGATGTGGAGAGTGCCTGGTTTGCCCACCCTGGAACATGGAACATATAGTTCATCATCATCATCATCATCATCATCATCATCATCATCATCATCATCACTTTATTTCTTAATTAGTCGCTCTCCACCAAAGTGCTCCGAGCGACTTACAATTTAAAATAGCTTATACACAATATAAAACATTCAATATAAAAACATTCAACATAAAAACATTCAACATAAAAACATTCAACATAAAAACATTCAACATAAAAACATTCAGCAGTGACTATGGCAAAATTTGATCTGATTACTCAAATGCACAACCAAACAGCCAAGTCTTGAGCGCCTTTACAAAAGGTTGCAACTCCGACATTGCTCTAATATATGGAGGCAATGAGTTCCACAGAATTGGAGCATAGATTGAAAAAGCTCTACGCCTTGTAGCTTCCAAATGTGCCTCCCTAGGACCCGGTATGTATAGGAGATTTTCCTGGGTGGATCGAGGTGACCACTGATGGGGAAAAGGAATGAGGCGGTCCCTAAGATATAAAGGTCCTTGGCCATTTTGAGCTCTAAATGTCAGGATCAGTATCTTGTAAGAGATCCGATGTTCTATTGGTAGCCAATGCAGTTGTTGCAGAATCGGTGTAATATGGGATCTTATAGATGATCCCGCTAGCAGCCTGGCTGCCGCATTTTGGACCATCCGAATCTTCTGGGTCGTTGACTTCGGAAGGCCAGCATATAAGGCATTGCAATAGTCCAACCTAGTGGTGACTGTTGCGTGGATTACCGTTGCCAATGCTTCTACCGAAAGGTAGGATGCCAATTTCCTTGCCTGGCGAAGATGAAAAAAGGCCTGCTTACTTACGGAAGTGATCTGGGCCTCCATCGTCTGCGGTGAATCCAACACAACCCCAAGGCTTTTAACAGTGGCAGACGGAACCAGAGCTTCCCCATCAAAATCAGGCAGAGACTGGGTTAATTCTGGCGGCTGGCCGGGCCAGAGTATCTCAGTTTTTGCAGGATTGACTTTTAGTCTGCTTGCTCGTAGCCAACTCATCACTGCTTCCAAACACAGCTTAAAGTTCTCAGGAATCACAGTTGTCCCAGGTTCGAGACACAAGAGTAGCTGGGTATCATCTGCATACTGGTAGCACTCTATGCCAAAGCTCCGCACCAGTCCAGCAAGTGGTCGGACGTAGATGTTAAATAACAGGGGTGAGAGGATAGCACCCTGGGGAACTCCACAGCAAAGGCAGGAGCTCTCAGAGCTTTGGCCTGACCACTCCACCCTCTGTCTCCGGTCCCGGAGGAATGAATTGAACCATTTGAGGGCTAAACCTCGTACACCAGACAGAGCCAATCGATGAATCAGCAAGTCATGGTCCAAGGGTGTCAAATGCAGCTGTGAGGTCCAAGAGTACCAATAGCGCTGATCCGCCTCAGTCTAACTGACGACGAATTTCGCCAGTAATAGCTACCAAGACAGTCTCTGTCCCATGACCTGAATGAAAGCCTGATTGAAAGGGATCCAAACCTGCAGTCTCATCTAAGAATTGCTGTAGCTGCCCCGCCACTGTCCGCTCAATCACCTTGCCCAGGAACGGAAGGTTTGAAACTGGGTGGTAGTTACTAGGTATGGCAGCATCAAGGGTTGGTTTTTTCAGGAGAGGGTGGACCACTGCTTCTTTAAGGCAATCTGGAAAAATTCCTTGCTCCAAGGAGCTGTTGATGATGCTCCTTAAGGGATTTTGTAGTCCCTCCCAGCACTCCTTAACCAACCGGGAGGGGCAAGGATCGAGGGAGCAGGTGGTTGGTCTTGCTGCAGCTAGAGTCTTTTCCAGGTCTTCCATTTCTAATGACACAAAATGTTCGAGAAATTGGCCACTAAGTGGCCAGGAGGCTTCTAGTTCCCTCAATGTGTCCTCTGTGGGAGGTAGCCCTTCACGGAGCAGATTGATCTTATTTATGAAGTGGCTCTGGAAAGTCTCTGCTGTAATATTTTGACTAGACACATCTTTGGCTGGATGGGTTGGATTTGTGATGTTACGAACAATTTTAAATATTTGAGCAGGTCGAGATCTGGCGGAAGCTATCAATGAGGAATTGTATTCTTTTTTGGCCTCTATGGTGGCTGCTTCATAGATTTTTCGATATATTTCGAAAGCTGACTTCGATGTTTCATCGGGTTTCTTGCGCCAATTACGTTCTAATCTCTTCCGCTCAAGTTTCATCTGACGTAATGTATCCGTGAACCATGGAGATCTATTCTGGTGGGGGCGAAGAGCCCGTTTAGGGGCAACTATGTCTAAGGCAGTTGATAGATTTCTGTTCCAGTTTTCCACTTGTTCACTTAGAGAATCAGCAGTGTAATCCAGTTCTTCAAGGACACTCGAAAGTCTAGTAGGATCCATCAGCTTCCTTGGCCGCGCGAAAATTTGTTCAGTCTCCGGACGCTGTGGTGGTGGAATCTCTATTTGGGTGTTCAGGATGTAGTGATCAGACAAAGGATTCTCTAAGACTGAGGATAGAGTCACTTGTATTCCGATACCAAAAATCAAGTCCAAGGTGTGCCCAGCCCGATAAGTAGGACCGGTCACCATTAATGAGAAACCTATTGTTTCCATAGATTGTACTAGGTCCCTTGCTATCGAAGAAGACAACAACCTATCTGCATGTACATTGAAGTCTCCCAATACGATGAGATTTGGGAACTTCAGGGCCCAGTCTGCCACAAGGTCTATTAACTTGGGGATGCTCTCATTCGG